AAATTTTTCTCCTCTGCTCATCAATTAACCAATATAAAGCTAATTATTTTCAGTTTAATTAATATTCAAGCCATTGCTATTTCTTAATCAGTTTCGAGAAATTCTTGCGTTAAGTATTGATGCAAGCTCATTTACGAAATTAAACTATTGATTAGAATTGGAATTCCTGAAAATACTTTTACTAACTTTTCCATCAATGCTCATCTTGATTCAACCTAACAAGTAGATAAAACCTGAGCAAATAAGAACCTCAACTAAGCGATATTAATTACATTTTATGGTGGATATTTCAAGATGAATAAAGTTTCTCAGAATGCTTTATGAATTTAAAAAAACTTTAATGAAAAGGTAAATTTTTTGTCAATTAACATTCAATATTGAAAATTAAAGGTTAGAAGTTGAAAAACAGAGAAAAATGTGAAATGCAAAGGACACTGAATGAATCAGAGTTGACCAATAATGCAAATGTTCATCAAGGGTGTGTCAATGAAATTCATTGATTATCATGTTCATCTAAATATATAAATATATAATACAAAAGGCTCGATTCATTATAAAGACAACATTTCCCTCCCTCGATTCAAAATCTTGATCTTGCTTTGTTTTTTTCCTCTTTCCTCCTTCAAACCTAATCACATCTCGTCTTGATTCCCATGCATTTCAAAGGTTACTCTTGCAACCATCATGTTCACCATGCTCAGTGTCTCTAATTTAGTCCTTTTTTGAGCCTCTTTCACCACTTTTGCTCCAATTGACACACTAACCAGGAAAAACCTTAAACAATCCTTTACTTTTTTCCTCTTCTTTTGCTTCATTCCCTTGCAACTTTAAGTAACTTGTTAAGCAAAAGTTGGTCAACTTGCAACAACATAAATGAAGAGCTGGCCACTCAGCCAATCCCGAATCAAGCTATTTGTTTGCTTGTTCAAAAGTGTGATTAATAGTTGGCCACAAAAGGCCAAAAATGTGATTCAATTTTCCTTTTCTCATCCAATTGTTTCCTCAACTTTTTTATTGCCTCTCACTTTATTAATAACTTTATTATTAACATTATTATTATCAATACAATAATATTATTGATTGGTGATTATATGTTATAAACGAGATAAAAGGAAGAATCAATTTTCTCGTTGCAACTCTTCACCAAACTCTTTGTCCAATCTATACCCGAATCTGAATCTTATTCAATTTTCAACTTAATCTTGGAATTGAGTGAAGCCAAGAGAAGGAAAAACAAATGATTAGATGTTGATTCAAGAAAAGACTTTCATTCAAGAAACATTGAAAAATTGGTGGATTGAAAGTTAAACACTGAATAAGGTCAATGAGATGAATTTGAGGATAAAAAATGATGAAAGAAGGAAAATATCTTTCAATTCATCTTCTTTTTCCTTTGCATAAACAACTTGTTCTATTTTCCTTTTGCATTCAAATATTCTTCAATGGTCAATTTCAACTTTCCGATGCTGATCCATGTTATTACCAAATTGAGGGTAAACTAAAAAGATGATAATATGGTGAAGTTTATCGCACCAGAAAAAGGAATAACAATAAATAACATTTTTTCTTCTTCTTCTTCTTGTGATAACTTTTCACTCCCAGTGCAACCGTTTTATCATAAAATTGGAATAAAATTCAATGATAGACTTGCATGATAACAAGTAGATTTAAAGGCAATTAAGTAAATTGTCAACTGAAAAGGAATTGATTTGTTGGACAGAAGAAGAAAAAGAAAAGGCAAACAGTTTGTAAAGAGATAGTTAATGATCTGGAATTGATTTAATAGTTCAAGTTGATAGGTTAAAATTGTGTGATTCAATTAGTGATTTATCGAAGGTTCAATCAACCAGAATAGATGAACATCATTATGATCAGACAATCAGGTAAAGTGTGTTCATTACAAGTTTGTCTGTAAATGGATGAAACATGATAATATTTTTAAACTTGAATAAGTTCGGGTTTCAATCTTTTTTTGAGCAACAAATGACCGTTAAAAGGTTTCGATTGATTAATGATAGGAAAACATGAAAAATGGCAAGAAATGTTAATTGAGTTCTATTGGGATTTCAAATTATTATATTTCAAATCCATTTGTGTTAATTATTTATAATAAGGAAATGCATTCGCAAAGAATAATCGAACAAGAACATTTTCTCCTCATCTCCATGTTTATCATTTTGTTGCTTTTTTTAACCATTTTTTCATCTCTATTGCATTCACTTTACCAATCAGCATTTGCAGAAGTTTTTTTTTCTCCATCCAATTCTCAATGGATGTTGATTAGTTTTTTCCACTTTGATTCATTGTAAAGAGGAAAGAAAAACATGAAACTCTGTGAATAAACTCGGAAATTAATGTTAATCGTGATGATAATTGATGTAATGCCATCATCGAACTGGTAATTCGTTAATGAAGGTTGAAAATAGATGAGAATCATAAGGGTATTTTGATATTCCTTCAAACCAGAGAATGAGTTATCAAAGAATTCACTCCGACATGATAACTTCATCTTGAATTAGGCAGCTTTACGATCTGAATTTATTGAAGTCATTCGATTCATCATTCAATTTCTTTCTCCAATCATGTTTAGGAATTTTTCAGTATAATCAAGCTTTTCAATTTTCGTTGAGAGCGTCGAGTTTGCTTTGTTTCAGAAAGTTGTGTTCAGGACCCGAAGATTTGCTGAATACTATTCTTTCAAAGTCTATTTTCTCGTGAAAATAATTCATGAAACTAAACCGAATTCATTCAATAATCTCTGTTTTCATGAGTTCTTTTTTTCAGTTTGAACAATTCAGAGTTTTGCATATTTTTATGAGATTTTTAGGCATTCAACGCTCAGAACAATCAAAGTTTTGTTTGCCAAAAGTCGAGTTAACTGCAAAATTTATTCATAAAAATGATCAAGATTTTTTATCCAAAAACTTTGAGACAAAAAGTTGTTAATAGAAACAATTAAGAAAAGAAACTGCAACATTGTTAGGTTCATGATGATAAGATAATAATGAGTAACCTTTGAGACTTGTTTTCGACAGATCAAAGTGTGAATACATAATCAGATTAACATCCATACAAACATAATTGTAACCTTAAAGGTGAATATTTTTACGGTTAAATCTGATCCGATGAATGTTTTTTAATCAGTCAAGTTTAAAAAAATGAAATTTCATTTCGCTTGATTTCATTACACATGGATATTGAATTGCATATTTAGCGTTATTTCGATGAAACCAGAGCACAAGAGATAAATTTCGACTCATTTTGTGATTAAAGTTGATTTAATTCTAATAAGCATTTTACTCGTCCAAATATTGTTTCCAATTTTCAAAGTTTCCAGAAATAATCGGATTACTTCTTCCATCTATTAACTGTAACTAAAATTTTCAGTCTATTACAGTTGATGAGTAAAATGGGAAAGTCCATCACAGAAATGAGTTGAATGTTATCTGTTAAAGCACACAAAAGACCTGAACTGAAAATCATTTCATCGTCCAAAAATGAACAGTAAAAGAAGAAAAAATTAGCTAAATTGAATTTTTTTCACACAAAATTCATTTGTTTAAAGAAGCTCAAAATAAAGCTCAAGTTAACCTTAAAATTTAGTTAAACCACAGTCAAGTTGGCACATGAAACTTTTTCACAACTCAGGTAACAACAAATAATGCAACATTATTAAATGTAAAAGAAGAAGAGAAAGTTATCTGAAAGAAAAGTGAAAAACAGTTTTCCAGTTCCATTCAACTCCTCTTCCATGTCTTGATCCTCATCATCATCCTAATCATCATTGAACATTTGAATCACTAAAGCAACAAAAGAAGAAAAGTTAACCCAAAAGTGTAAAATATAACGAAAAGAGAAAAGAAGAAGAAAAAACTAAAAAAAAAGTTGACGATCAAAATAAATTAGCTTGCAATATGTGATAGGAATAACATTGTTCATCTTGTTCAATCTTGCTCATCTTCTAATGCCAACATGTTTCAAAGTCAACTTATTTAATTCCAAGTGTTTCATGGGATAATCATGAAAAGCTGATAAGTAAAGATGAAAATATTCAACTGATTTTGTTCACTTTTCTAATCGCAATTACATTTATCAAGATCAATGTTTTTTCACTTTTCAACTTGCAAATGTAAACTCGAGCTCAACATTTGTAAATGACGTTATCATGATGAATCAACTCCCAGTCAATTCTTACTTGTCTAGTAAAGACAATTTAGTCAACCCATATTTGTTCATCATTTTTCATCTGTCGCTTTGTCTTCCTATGAATCAATGAGAATCATTATCGGAATCAACAATCATGTTCTAAGATTTATATGAATATCTTTGTACAGATTTACATCAAAAATTCATATTATTATTGTTATTAACATTTCTTTCTTGTTCATTCTTGGTACATTATCATGACAAGGTAAAAGGGTGATAATCAAAGAAATATTATCATTAGAAGAATGAAATTATCTTCTCTATTCACACTAATAATATATCAATATCAATAAGAATCAATTGAATAAGGTCAATGAATAAGTTGAAAGTTGTCATGATAATACACATTTGGACTCTTCACTTCACTTGCTTTGTTTTGTTTTCATCGTTTTCTCTTCTTCTTCTTCTTCTTCTTTCTTCCAATCTTGACATTCCCTATTAATAATATTAATAAATAATAACATGGATTACATTAACAAATGTCTATTATTATTGTGATCATTATTATTTCGCATATTATCAAGGATATCATTTTCATTTTGAAAGCAAAATTCAATTTGTCTGTCAACTTGAGACAACATTAGCTTCTTCATTTTGTGAGGACTCTTTGACCAGACAGATGGATATTTTCAATTAAAATGGTCAACAGTTTTATAAGTACTTTATAGTTGATTAAATTTATAATCGTGATGCAAATTATAATCAACATAATTTAAATTTACCTCATAAACCAAAAATTGATACTATCTGGTTTAGTATCTGATTAATCTTTGGTATCTGTAGTGGATATCTGTGTAAGGATTCGGATATTTACTTGCCGCCTTTTGTTAATGGTTGGTTTAGTTACTGTTAATTGTCTTTTGGTAAAAATTGGTAACATTTAAATTATTTCTTGATTCTTGTGTTTCAGAATTTGACTCTTTAAAAGATTAGTCTGGGCACGGTATCCAGATTGTCATGAAATAGCGAAGCGATGCTTATTAACAAATATATTGATTAATAACTGGTAAGTTAAACCATTAACAAGCCATTGTAAGCCTAATGACCAATTGTTTTATCTTATGCTTTTTGTGTTTAGCTTTCATATTTCTACAGGACAAGTTCAATGGTCCATTTGAGTCTTTTTTCTTGCTCATGTATACAATGCTGTCGTGAACTTGAATGACCTTCAACTGTACCAATGTGTCAAGCTGGATTATTGTTACACGAGTTGTCAGACGATTTACCTTCTGCTTTGTATCCAATGGATTTGGAACCTGATTTATATCTTTCCACATTTTTCTCCATCAATCTCAACCTTTAAAACTTTGAAAAGATGTCTTTTAAAGGCTATGTATCAGTTTTGCTATTAGACCCATTTCATGTTAAATTTTTATTTTTTAGCAAAAATAATCATTTTGGTAAGTAATTTTTCGTTTTTCTTAAAAATTGTTCAAATTATAATCCTATTGATAAACATTATTGATTATTTATAAAGGGTTATTCGTGTTTTACTTTTGTTTTCTTGTCTTCTTTCCAGATGTACATTGTGTGGCCATGAAATGAAAAGTCTACATGAAATTGGACGATTAACAAGACCAGAAGGAAAAGGCCAGATGATAGAGGTAAAGGGAAAATGATTCTTCAGTAATTATATTGTTGAACATTGTTGGAGACAAATTAAAACCTATTAATGTAATCTTCCGAGGGTAATATTTCATTAATAACGTTTATTAGTTGATAAAGTAAAGTTTATTCAAGTTAGTCTCTGAATTTTTCCAGTTTGAGTCTTCAGGTAAAGTAATCTTCAACAATCATTCAATAATATCAAGTCTTTTATTCCTACTGTGCCTGGTAAAAGCAGTAATTAAACTTTTTATCATTACTATTTCTATCATTTTTAACTTTCTATCTAATATATATTTTTCTTTCCCTTCTTCTTGCTTTCCAGCATAAAATTTAACCAATCAATATTATATTATCGATATCGATCAATGTTTCAAAGAGCTGAAGGCCCGAGTTTAATTTACTTTGGTAAAAGGGAAAAAAGAGAGAAGGATAAAGACTTGGAAAGGATGAAAAAGAAGAAAATGTAATAAAGTTAATCTTTTTTTTCGCTTTCTCTTTCAACTTGCAAAGTTGTAGATTGAAAGTTAAATTATTCAGTCAATTCAACACTACAAGAATGAAAGATAATATTCAAATGTAATAGATCATCATTCTGGCTAGAATCATGATTGATTGAAGACTAGTTGAAATTCACAGGAATCCAAAATAATCTAGTTTCCTTTTTTTCTTCCCTTTTTTTACCTTCATTTTCTCATTCTCATTCTGATTCTCTTCCATTTCAATTGGTTTCAATTTTCTAAACATGGCATCAGTAAGCCATCAAAATCAGATGACACCAAAAGGTGCAGGTAAAAGGTTACTTGGGAAAGACACTTGCCAAACCTCTGGAAAAACAAAAGATTGAAATTTATTGAATGGTACAAGTTCCCAACGAAAAGATGAATACGATTAAATAGAGTTTTTGGAAATTGAAGGAAAAGAAGGAATCAAAGCAATCTTACCTGAGGTATACGAAAAAGTCTAAGAAGATTGGCAACTTGAAGGGAAACTTCACTATATGAACCTCCAACAACACCATATATTGTCTTCATACCGTACTTTGGTCTTGGTGGAATCCCGTCCTTGCATTCAAAGGCTGAAGCCTCAAAGGCAGTGTTTATCGAGGCTCGTATAAATTCAAGTGATTGATTGAGTGCATACGAATCACTTGAACAAGTATCCAAAATGATGGCTCCCATTTTAATATTTGGTAATAAACTTGAATCATTATTAATCTTGTCTATGGCAAATAACATGGCTTCCACCCTTTGTACACCACGGTCCATGTTGAGTCCTCCACAAGCTGAATGATAATTACTTCCCGAGTTACCAGCTTTGGTCCCTTTTTTGGTTTGATTTTGGGTTAAAAGCAAGAGAAAGACAAAAAAAGGAAGAAGGTTTATTAATCATTAAACTAATTAATCAGTACAAGAGAAGTGAGAAAACCCGAAAAGAGAAAGACAAAAATGAATGGTTAAAAAGATCACATTTATCATTGTATTTGAATAATGACTAGGAAATAATTTGAATCATTTAAGTTTGATTACATTTTTACTCTTCTTGCCCACAATTTTGTCCTGCTGTTCTAGTCTCGTTAAATATTCAATATTATTATTATGTTATAATTATCATGAAACAAATGTTAACTCTTTTTTCCTAGTTTCATCTATAATTTAATGTATTGTTATGGTTTTTTTATTTTCAAAATTGCTGATTGCTTTTATGTTTAATTTTTACATTTGTTTTTTGTTTCTCGTTGATGGGAAAATGTTTGATGTCAAAATTGTTTTCAATGTAAATTAATATTAATTCAATTTGCTTTGACATTGATAACCTTTTAATGTTAAACATCACTCGTCTCAACATGAGCCTTTCAAAGCTCAATAAGTCATCATCGCCATTTAAAATGCCATTAACATGAAAGTTGAAGAAGCAAGAGTGAAAAAGATTACATCATAAAATTCCAATATAAAAATAATATCATCAACATGAAGTCTATCAGAATCAAAAGGAACCTTGAACAATGCCATTGCACCCATAAGGACATTCAATATTTCACAGTGACAGGGATTGAATCTTTTACCAAAAATGTAATTCCATTCTAACAAACCAACTAAATTGTGATTAGAGGGCAGTTTAATAAATGTAATATCAGCTGAATAAAAATATTTTCAAGCTGTGAATAAAAGAATTGAATTCTGAAGTTGCCTTCAGAATTCAATTCCGACAGTCAAGTAACTGTCTAAGGTTAGGTTACAATTTCATGTCACTTCCACAAGTCTTAGAACGGTTTCGAACCTGGTTCGCATTCGTTCTAAGACCATACGGCTCACCCATCTAAGCCATGGGCCTGGCCAAAAAATTAACTGCAAAAAACAAATGAATTTTGAAACCAATACAATCGATTCGATACATTTAAGGATCTATTGATTGTTTACACATGGTTTTATCTGTAAATTTTCAATAAAGTCAATCAAGTTAAAGTTACTGAATGGTGAATATAAAACTATTCATATTAACTCCGTTCTAACAAATCAACTAAATTGTGACTAGATAAATTGTATAATTAGAAAAGGAATAAAAAATATTTTCATGAAGCTATTGCATAAAAGAGGTGAATTCTGGAGGGACTCCAGAATTCATCTCTTTGCGAATTATAATTCGGCTTTAGGTCAGGTTACTCGTTATGTTAACAAATAGACTGGTGTCTTGGATAGGGCTCGAACCCGAGTTGTTTTAATGCCTTTGGCTTATCCAGCTTGGCCATTGGCTTAAGCCTAACAATTAAGCATTAAAAAAAATATATATTTTAGAACCAATACAATCGATTCGATGCATTTAATGCGTTATTTGTATTGGAAATTGGGTTCTTTAGATTGGGATAAGAGAAAAATTGGGTCAAATTAAGCTTATAAAAAGTATAAATTGAACAATTTTCATGAAAAATGCAAATTGGTTGTGAATTATTTGATTTTTTTTCGGGTAAAAGATACATTTTTACTGATTCAAAATAAACCAGCAAGTTGTAAGATAAAGAACCCAAATTGAAAATAGTCAATCTAATGCATAATCAATCTTGGGTAACAATAAAATTGACAATTGAATGTGTTTTGGTGAATAGCAGAGGAGTAGAAAGGTTAAACCATTGTAATTGTCAATTAAGATTAAGGTTTGTCTAAAGGACCAAAAAGCTAAACCCAAAACTAGATTAACAATTGGACAACAAGACGATCTGAATCATTTTTGCCCTTCAAACAACTTGAAAGCAATAAAAAAGGTAAACGAAGGTTGAAAAGCCAAGTAAATACATCGATTTATTGTGAGTGTGTGTGTCAGCAAGTCTTTAAACTGTCTCGAGTCTTAATTGATCTTTATCATGTCGAGTAAAGTTTGAATATGCCAAAATTTGTAGAATCAGACAAACACAAATTCTGGTGTCTATGGCTACCAACTATTGTAAGCATAGTAAGCTAAAGGAAGACAAGATTGGAAGATGCAATGAAGATTATTGTAATCAATGGGTTAAGTCTAGTGAATACAAGAGTTAATTTTTTGGGGTTTTGTTTCTGTTTTGTTTCTGGTTAAGATTGTTTACCTTTTTGATGAATGGGAAAGATTCCACCAAGAAGTATGTCACCATGAAGTGATATTTTGTCTGTTGATTGAACTACAATAACATTATTTCCGGTTGACAATATAAATACAATGGCAATGATGATTAGAGTTACTTGATTAGTTACTTGGTAACTGATCATATTTTTTGCTTTTGGCTTTACTGTTGAACAGTTGAACAAGTTAAACATTGAAGCGATTCAGGTTGCGATAATGATGATTTCAGGATAGAATGGACAGTCAACGGAATAATCAATGGCTGACCAATTAAGATGATGATAATGATGAATGTTGATCAGCAGCAGCTTTTGTCTTCATTTGCGTTTCACACTTGGCTTCATCTTATTCCTTTTCTTCAACTTGATTTGAAGTTGCAGTAGTTTTGCTTAAACAATAATCTATATTGATTAACCTTTCATCTTTGCCTTTAATTGTAATTCAATTGCAATGTAAAGATGACAAACTTGAAACACAAGAAATCAGGTAATGATTACTCTTGATGTACAGCTAATTCAATTAGAAGTTTATTTGAACCAACAATTTGGCTGATCATTGTGATTATGGTCATCTGATGGAGCTTTGATTGTGATTATGATGAAGATGGAGATGATGATGTTATTGAAGATTCATTGATGAGTAAAGATTGAGCATGTAAAACGTGAGAACACTGTTGATTAATTGATAATTATTCAACTATTACATTTGTTTTGGTTGCGACTCTTCAACAGTTTTAGCTCATTAAATAATCATTGTGATTAAATGTTGGTACAACAAGATGAAATCACTGTCAAATTGGTAAACTGATAATTATAATAATAATTAGGAAATGAGAAAGTTGCAATTGTATTTACAAGTGAAAATACAATTGGAAAAAAAAGATACGAATGAATGTAAAAAAGAACGATTTGGATGAGGGAAAAAAAGGATTTTACTGTCTTACCGTTTGCACTGTTTTGCCTCTTAATTTGGTTTGGTTAATCAATTAATTGTGAACAGATGCATGTTAGTTTCCTCCTGGTTTTTTGGGTTAAACAGTCTTCAAGTTGGTAACAGTTTAAATCCAGTGTTGATGGTGAATATGAGGGAAAATATTTTTGTTGTGAAAGTGAAGACAATTATGACACTGGAAATGTGTAAGATTATGAAATGAGGTGATGATGTGATGTTGATGGTAATGTTGATGGTTGATGGGATGTTATGAAAGGCTTTCAATGTAAAGTTTTGATGTTTTGTTTTGTTAGGAAAGACAACGGACTTGGAGTTACTCAGAGTTGAACTACCATGTAACTGTGACTAGGAGTGACAAATTATGAAATGAAAAAAAATATATGTTAAGCTAATTGTTTACCGGGTAAGATGATAAGAGTGAGATGATGAGAAGAAGGAAGATAAAGATAGAGTGAGTGAGAAGAGGGTGAGGGAGATAGAGGAAGGAGAGAAGGGATGAAATAGGGAGAAAGAAAATATCAAAACATTTTCAAAGTAGTCTGATCATATTCATTGTTGTATCACCTTTTTTTTAAGACAAGACATGATCAGAAAGTAACATGGACAGGGTTAGCTGAGAGAGAATGAAGATAACGAGATGATTTTGTAAGGAGAGATGAGATGAACCGGACATGTTCAGTCTTATTCATGGTTTCAATATCATCATCATTTTCAGGTTTAGTTTTCCAATTCCGAACAATCTGAAGATGAAATTGTTTCAACATTTGCAGTGTCATCTAGTGGCTGTAGAATTAGTTTACTCAAATCTTAAATCTTAATTTTCGACTTCAACTCAACTGTCATTTTTGAATTTATTAATTCTGTTTTTTGGTTATTTGGTCTCATTTGTGCAAAATAAAAGGGTAAAACCTAAGTGTGTCCTCTACTGTAGTTTAGATTTATTTATTTTATGATAAGAACAATTGAAAAATATTATAAATTGCAATAAAAGTTGAAAAAATCTACTTTACAGTAAATGCAAATTCAAGTTTAAATTTTCTCGTCAACCAGCCGCAATTGGATTTATTAATCGTCTCTTTTATAACCTGGCTACATACAGACATTTTTTTCTTGATATCCTTTAATATATTTTGATAAATTATGCCTGATTCTGTCCAGATTTACTCATGTCACAAAAAATTCACCGATGGTCTCCGAGGCCACTCCGTTCTGCATTAAACTGAACAATTCTTTAGTGGCTTGCATCCAAAGATGAAAGTGTAATTGCGAATTCGTAATTCTTCTTGATTATCGGCTATTAAATCAGCCACTTTACGTACACTTCAACACCTTCTTAGTCCAGTCCGACTTCATCAATAATGATACAATTAAATTGGTAAGGATTGTGATCAATCCTAACAGTAACGACAGCTGTTTAAAGTTGACAGAATGACATCAGCTCTTTTGAGGATACATTTGTATCAGTTTTAAGACTTAATCTTAAAATGTTAGTCATGAACCATTTTCTCTTAAATTGAATGATTATTAGCAAAATTGAGTTGAGTGCAGTGACCAAGATAATCGGTTATTAGTTTATCTTGGTAAATATCAACCATTAAGAAATAGACCCATGGTTACTTTTTTTCTTACTTCAACCATATAACCGGTTGCCGGTAACCAACATCTTCAGTTTGTTACAGTCTCTTTGTTTATAAACCGCGTAAATGTAACCATAGATACCAGTTTTTAGCCAAAAGCAACACTTTTATTTATATTTCTGTGAATTAATTTGAGTTTTGATCTTATTTTCGCTTATTTTGTTCTCTCTTTTTTTGATCTTTTTACTAATTGCTTCTATTCTTCACAGTGACCAAATGATTCGTTTGAAAGGAGCACGTGGTGATGGAGCATCGCCTTTTGATGTCATTCTTGAAAAAGAAGCAACTCTTGGTCGATCAAAACAATCCAAAATTCCACTCGTTTCTCTTTATATTAGCCGTTCTCATTGTAAATTTGAAAAGGAGAATAATGTCTGGTATCTCACCGATTTAAAAAGTTTCAATGGTACCTATCTGAATGGTGAACGTTTGCCTCCGCACAAAAGATCAGCGATCAAGTATGGAGATAAGATTAGATTGAGTTTTCCAGTCCAAGGAGATGACTGTTGTTTCGAGTTGCAAGTTATGAAGCCATCTAATGCCAATGAGAAATCTATTGAAGTTAAAAAAGAAAAAATAAACGAAAAACCTAATGTAAGCATCGTGACCTCCACCCCTAAGACTAAGACTCCGGATACTGAAAATGTTATTGTCATTCAGGATAATGCTGTCGATTCCTGTTTTGACCCTGTTGTAGAATCGCCTAGGAGGACTAAAATACTGGAAACAAAAAGAGCTAAAGACTTGAAAATGCATTACCTTAAACAAAAACTAGCTAGAAGTGCAAATGACAACTTTAACAAGAACAAAACCAAAACTGGTGGGCTGAAAAAACAAGTTGCCGCATCCTATGGTAATCGGATTCCGATTCCTGGTGGTGGCTCCGCTCGTGTCATCCCCTCTACCAACAAACCCGAGATAACAATCCTATCCACTAAACCGAAACAACCTGGTTCAGTGCAGCCTGCGCCTAAAATTAAAATAGAAAAAGACGAATCTAAAAAATCTAGTCTTGATATAGATTGTATAAATTTAGTTGGTGACGCGCCTACGGTCAAAAGGCAACCAGTTCCGACTAATGTGTCAAATCGCAGTAATAGAGTTACATCTCTTGTTGAGTCCATAATTGCAGCTCAAAAGAATAATGTTAATATTAAACCTGGACAGACTAACAGGCCGAAGACTACCATTTCTAAAGTAAGTGAAGAACCATCCGTTTCTGATACTACTAAATCAGCTGAATCCGGAGCTGCATCTAAATCAACGGAAACTGGAAGTGTATCTAAACCTGTGCCCAACAAAAGACCTGTGCCTGAAAGTGTTCCCAACAAAGCTACTAATCCATCTAAAAAAGTCAAAATTTCTGATGGAGGAATCGCACAAATGATTGCTGAGAAGCGAAGTAAACATGATAATATCACGGTCAGCCCAATGAAGCCTTTAGGACCACCACCAACCACATCTAAAAAAACTAACCAAATACCTCAACCAACTTCATCTGTATTACAAAACCATATAAGTTTGCTTCCAAAAGAATTGCAGGTCAAAAATTTTTCTACTGATAATGTACTTTTAAAAATTCTCGAATGGAGTGTTCAATGGATCAGGGAGAGCAAAACATTGTCCAACAAACCACCTCCTATTACAGATAAACCTCTCATTAAATTGAGTTTATCTTATTCAAGTTGGCAAAAATATTACGATACTTATGAGCCATTGGTGCTTCACGAAATCTGGTCTCAAATTATGCAATCTTATGAAAGTGAGAAGCAATCTAATGTTCTAATGGTAGCTGTCTCTAGCTATGAACTCATCGATGGTTTTCTCAAACTTGACTGTCAAGCTACAATGCTTCCTTCAGACTTTCGTGATCAATTATATTTGAATGAAGGAGATTTAGCTTTGGTCGAATTACAATCTGAAAGCTGTGAAAAAAGAGTCGTTTTTGGATACATCGAGACAATGATTTCAGAAGATATTACTGATAGGACGCCAATTCTACGGACTTATCGAGTGCCTCCTGGTCATAGAATTTTCTTAAAATACCAGATAAAAATAAAGTTCCGCCAAGTGAAATTGGACTGTGCTTCTCTGATGAGAGTCAGAAGTATATACTACCTCAAGCCATTGCTTAGAAATATTGAAGCCATTTTAGCTCTTCAAAATTCCAAGTTGTGTGAAGACATTCTTTCGCCTAGGATGGTTACTTGTCAAATGGCTGTTCCATCTATTAAATTTAGTAATCCTGACTATAACGAGTCCCAACTGAAAGCCATCTTAGCATCTGTCGAAGCTGTTCAAAGACCTTACACTATGCCTAAATTATTAATGATTCAAGGTCCTCCAGGAACTGGTAAAACAACAACTCTGGTAGGAATAATCAAAAAAATATTCGAAACTTGGGAAGAATCTAATTCTCCACCTAAAGTTTTGGTCTGTGCTCCTTCGAATGGAGCGATTGATGAAATTGCCAGGCGACTTCACAGTGCTCGACATTTTTTAACCTCAACTCAATGGAAAAGACCTTTAAGGTGTGTTCGTGTCGGAATGCCCAATCAAATGCATCCCTCTGTTCGTAAAATGTCATTAGATGAGTTGGTTACTGAAAATATCTCAAGACAAAAGTCTGATCACCAACGTGGTATTCAAGAAAAGATTGATAATCTGGAAAGAGATGTTGCTTGTAAAGACCGTCTAGTTGCTGACTATCGCGCTAAAAATGATAAAAATAATGTTGATAGATGTTTATCAGAAATGTTTATTTGCAATCGAGAGATTGAGTTCTTAAGAAAGGAATTGAAAAACAATAATGAGCAAATGAATGATATCAACAAGAAAAAAAGTCTTAGAGCTGATATCCTCAAAAAAGCTGATGTCGTTTTGTCAACTTTAAACAGCTGTCGTCAATCGTTGCTAGAAGGATTATATCTTACTGATCGAGATCCTTGCCAATTTAATTGTGTCATTATTGATGAAGCCTCGCAATGTTGTGAACCTGAGATTTTGATGCCTCTCACTTATACCTCAATTTCAAAAATGATCCTCATTGGAGATCCTATGCAGCTTCCAGCTACTGTCATCTCTCCTGTTGCCTCAGAATATCATTATGATAGATCTTTATTTGAAAGATTTTTCCATCATTTTGGTGGTTATTCATCTTCTAGTCCAGTATTGATGCTTGATACTCAATATCGTATGCACTCTTCAATATGCTCTTTTCCATCGAAAAAGTTTTACAGCAATCGTTTAAAGACTGCCCCAGATCTCGACAAAAGACCTTTTCCTCTCAAACCTTATTTAATTATTGATCTTAAAGGCACCACCTTTGATCAATCCAATTTCAAAAATATCCACAATGAACTGGAAGCCGATTTTGTTATTAACCTGTATTCAGCTGTTCGAGAAATTTGTCATCGTGATACAACAGTGGGTATTATTACACCGTATCAAGGACAGAAAAAATTATTGTCTAATAAATTGGAAAAAAATTATCCCAATGTTGATGTCAACACAATCGATGGGTTTCAAGGGCAAGAAAGAGATGTCATTATTATTTCTTTGGTTCGTGATTTTTCCAAGCGCGACTGTGGCATCGGTTTTCTCGGCTCAGCTAATCGTTTAAATGTTGCACTTACCCGAGCTCGGCATTCATTAATAATTTGTATATCAGACATTTCAGATGTAAATAACGATCTATGGAAAAGTTTAGTAGATAACGCCGCTTCCAGAAAATTGCTTCTTAAAACTTCATGTAGAGTCAAAAATGGACTCAAAAACCTAATCAAGGCTGAATGAGTGTTCAATTGTATAAAAACGTGATACCGAATTTTACCATTTTCTGATGTCGAACCTGTCTTTTGTCAATATTCAAAGTTGATTTTTAACTTTTTTTTGGTTATCCCCAGCCTGTTCAACAATTCTTGTAAATTTTTTATCCATCTATAGTATTCCGTCCTTCAAAGACTCAGAATTCATCAGTGAATCAAAGACAAATGCGATTTTCTCCTCAAATTTGTAAATTATTGACATCAATATTCAACTCAAGCGCAAACATTTAACCAAAGTTTCCCGATGAACACTGGACGACAACTGTGACTCTAGATGCCAGAAACATTTTTAAACACAAAGAAATGTAAAACACATGTCCTTCCATTAAGCCTTTAAACAATTGTGATTGAAAGAAATTGTGCTGTTTAAGATGAAACCTTAATCATCCTTTTCATCATTATCTGTCTCATATTTTTACTCTTGTTAAGTTTTGTAAATTGACTCACTTGAAAATAACTCATCGAAAAACAAAACTGTCGACACTTTTGCAAAAGAACTCCTATCAAGCTCTTCTTCCTTTCCGGCTAATCTAAATGATTTACACTGTTTTCTTGTCTTGAAAATGTATTTATAAATGGTTCAACACTCAACAGGCTGTACATGAGGAGGGCAACAAGAAAGTTAATCTTAGCCTGATTTCAAAATTTGGCGATAATGAAGATTGTAAAGCAACAGATTTAACTTTGTTTTCATTGTCTCTGTTGTCTTGTTATTATTTTAATCAATATAACCAAAATTTGTGATTAAGGTAAAATTAACTGCCTTGTTGCCTCCTTGATTTGGCATATGTTAAGTGTTACACTGTTTATCATGTGGATAAGTTGATACAGACAGGGATGAAAATGAAGAGAGTTGCTGATATGTTATTTTATCATCACAACCATATGGAAAAACAATTTTTCAAAGTAAAACATCGTCTTTATCTGCATCTTTCAACATCTTTCCAATTGTGATACCATGAAAACTTTCTTAAGTATTGGAGAGAAAGAAATTGAACCCGAATTTGCAGCAAAATTGATGCTTTAATGAACGGAAATTTCATTCTCCATTTAATCTTGAGGCCTTAACCAAAGCAAAATCAACTGTCTCTAACTATATTTATTGTTGAAACCCTCTTCACTTTTTTATTGTCTTTTATAATCACCTATTTATATCATAATAATAATAATCTTTAATAATCATGTTCTTAATGTTCAGTTTACTTAATTGATGATCATCAATCCATCTTAATATCTCAACGGCAATCTTGAATGAATTTTGATGATGAATCTGTTGGTTATTGGTGTTTTTTAATCTTGATGACGAAAAGAAGAGAGAAACGAAATCAAATTTTAATCTTTTCCTTCGGTCGAACAGGATTTAAGATTATTTGACTAGTCTAACAGTTAACAAGCTTGATAAGTGTAACTTGATTTACTCGATTGTTCATCAGCTTCCAAAATGGCTCTCATTGTTGAGCAAATTTCACTCAAACTCAAACTGGATGGAATAACACTGGATGATATAACATTGGATATGCGATTACCATTAGAGTCAACACAGAAACATCTTGAACCCGATTCAAAGCATTGGTTGGCCTTAAAGTTTCCATATAAATCACAGAGCAGTTTATCATACGGTTTACCCAAAGTTGTTATTTCATACTCTTGAATGGCACAATCACATTTCATTGTCCGATCATCATTGCCATATCTGTCGATGCGATAATTGGCAACATTTTCACCGACTGAATTTACACACGAACACTCTGAATCTGTGCATTGTCTATGAACAAAATTACCATCCAAATCACATTGCATTGAGTTCAAGCCAATCGCATCGATTCCTTTACGGCCCAAGAAGCTTGTTAGATTGGCCAATGGTTGTAACAGTTGTTCACACATTTTATTGTAATCGGCGCCAATCAAGTGCAATGACTCAATGTAATCGACTATATTATTCATCAGAATTCATCGGAATGAGGATGAGGACAAGAAGCGTCAAACATGACAAACAAAAGAGATAAGAGAAAAGATAATTTGAATTCATGAGAAAAACCCATCTTAAGAGCAAGTACAGGTATTCCTAAAGGAGGCATTTAAAGGAGGTAAAAGATGGTTGCGATTGCTTGAGTAATACAAACAATGAAAATGGAGATTCAATGTGTTTCATTGCTAATTGAAATTAGAGCTTCTAAAGGCCTAAATTTCAGGTCTAAATGACTAGACATTAGATCAAGGCTCTTACACTTTAGTTTAGGCTTGAACATTTAAGAAAAATTTTAGACTTTTTAGCCTTTTAGATGTTTAACCTTATGTCTAATTTTCAATCAATGAAATTATGGTTCCATTTTTAAACATATAAGCTTGATACACTAACACTGGTAATTTAACTCTGCATTAAAGAGTCATAGCAATTTCTTTGTCGTTTTATTCAAATATTGAATTCGTTTCGACTGATGAATTCAAAAAATAATTTTGAGGAAGATTGAAATGAGTCAATAGCAAAAAGAATGTCAAAAATTAATTCGCATTAATGAAGTCTAGACAAAAGTCTAAACATTAGACTTTAGCTTCAGAGCTATTTTCAGAGTCTAGATCTAATTTTCAAATTTGTTGACTTTAGACTTGACTATAAGTCTAATTTGACATGAAGCTAAAATCTAGACGTCTAATAATAGAACCTCTAATTGGAAGAATCACAATCAATCTTTTAACTTTTAACAATTGCTTTGCCTTTTGATTTACTTTGATTTACTTACAGCAAACTTTGAGATCGGCCTTAATCATTTTCCACTTTTGTCCACTATCATGGTCAATGCAATAACATAAATCCTTCAACTTTTTATTGCCATCGTCATCGGTATATTCAACTTTCTCATCACAATTAACTTCAACCTGTCGTTGGTAAGTATCATAATCTGTAAACGTGTTTGTGTTGATTCATATGAAATAATGGGAAATATCAAGAATAAGAAGAAAAAGAAAAACAATAAATAACTCAATCATCGATAAAAACTTGATCTTGTTTTCTTGTTTCATCTCAGATAATTTATTTTATTTTTCGTCTAATATCTTTCATGTTTATCTTTAGATTCTTTACCATGTCAAAGACTATGAGATAATTGGGAAAACAAAATCACAGTGGATTTCATGATGAATTGAAGAGCCTCCAAGATGACATAATTACGATTTGTGCATAAAATTAAAAACATGAATAATGATGAGAGGGAAAAAAATTGTTAAAGTACGATCAAACATGTTCTCAATGAGTGAAAATACTTTTTTTCACTCCAAACCCAGTCTTGGAAAATGAATATTTAAACAAATTCAATTTCATCTGCATTTCCCAATTGGACATTTTCTGACTTGCCTGATACTTACAACAAGAAAGACTCGAAACAGCATCAATAAGAACCAAAGGTGAAACCTGTTGTCCCGTTGATGGATCAGCACAAAAGCACAGTTGATCATGACATTGGAGTGAAGCAAAGTTGCCATTCTCGGAACAATGTAAATGTCTTGATGATTGATAATCAAGATAATTATCTGGATCACTCGTGTAACGGCTCAAGGCGACACTGCATGAACAAGTCATATTGGAACCGTTTACTGATTCCACTGTACCAAACGTCTTTTCACCCGAATCAGGATCAACGCAATAGCATCTATTAATGAAACCAGAAATGGAACATTGAGTAAATATGGGAAAAAAAGGTGAAACAGTAGCAGTTGAAAGGAAAAAAATACTTAAGGAAAAGGAATATTTCCATCAATTGAATCAATTTCAATCTTCCTACTCAATGACTTAATCATGCATAAATATTGCTCTTTTAATTATTCCAATGTTAATTAGCGATTCTCAATTTAAATGGAATCATCGTCTCCAGTGCAAGTTTAATTGGAAAAATTTAAATTTTAAAAAATCTCTAAAGGACCATTTCTGTGCCATTGAACATGCAACATGATTCATGTCTTGAATGAAAAGAAGAAGAAGAAAACTGGAATTTTCAATCACTTGAAAGTCAAGTTTACTTGTAAATTGTTAATCAATTGTTTAAGAGCAATTGGTGCTTCAATTTGGTGACATGAAAAACACGTAAAACAAAAAGCAAAGGCCATCAAAAAAATCAAAAGTGAAAGGAATGACAAAAACGCTGCTGTTGGCCTTACAATGTTCAAGAGGTTCAATCCAAAGTTGTTAATGAAAAATGTTTAATCCTGTAGCAACATTATGAAACTTGTACTCTGATCAACATGTCATCAAATCACACTTACAGATCAACAGAATCATTGATCGTCAAAATGAACAAGATGAAACTTGTCACCTCAACATGGTTACTGATAACACATAATAATAGTGATCAAGATTCCAAGCAAAAGTCCAAAAGGAAGGTTAAAACGTCGAGAGAGAGGCGCAATCAAAAGCATGATTACCATTTAATTGCTGATTAACATTGACTAATTTTATTTTTAGCAAAAAAAAGCTTCATGCGTAATAGTCGTAATTGTGATTAACCTGAAATTGAAAGTGAAATGTTCACTTAATTTCTTCTTCTTTTGCTTGTCAACGTTATTACACCTTGCCCATGACAATTGTAAGGCAACAGTTGTTAACAAAGTCCATGGAAGGAGGAAACCATCAACCTGATGATCAGCAGCATGTTGAGTCTGAAAGTGTACTTTAGAAATGAAAATAATCAAAGATGAAGATGATGAATGAAGCATATATAAATCACGTACAAACATGATTAACATTAACGTCTATTAATGTTAATGTTAATATGTTGCTAGGCAGAGTTCAGCCCATAAGCAAAACGTCTAAGGTTGTTGTTTAAGATCGTACCTTTTCAAGAAACGGATACAAGTCGACCCTCGAACTACTCTTGATAACTCATCATTAACTTGCAATAACCTGATGAACAGCAATTTAATCTTATCCTTTGAGTCCTCAGAAAATTTGCTTTTCTTCTCTCTCTCTCTGTCTCTTCATTTAACACTTTTCAGTTTTATATTACAAGTAGTCTTCAGATGTGAAAGTTGCTTGCAAAAAAATATTACAATATAATTTATTGGAAAATAATAATAAAATGTTAATAGTAACTAGAATAATAAAATATGCTGATAAGTAAATGAAAATTACAATCTTTGGATACAATCGACGCCAAATGATTCCATCAACCTGATAATGGGCAACAAGTTTTATTGGCTTACCTTGGTTCCAGCGTTGTTTTTAGGTAAACATTAAGATTTTTTTGGACGCCAAGCAACAAGTTGAAACCAATAATTAACCAATTTAATCAAGTTACAGCCAAGCTTTACAGTTAAATTAACATTTAAAATCTAAACATTTATCAGATACTTTACTCTGTCTCAATGTTGTTTACAATATTTTCCGTTTTTCCAATCAAATTCATCAAGTTTCTCCTTTTACACTCATCATCCTCACTTCATGTTCAAACCTTGAAAATGCAATGTTTCATATTATTACAGAGGCAACATTTACTTCACTGACAATCATTTTCATCTTACATGATTTTCCAAATTTCAACATATTCCAATTGAACTTAGACAAAGGTAAAGGTTAAACTGAAAACAGACTCAATTTGGATTACAGGATTAGTTCAAATCAATTGTCAAATATTTACACATTTTTAGGTGCAAATTGACTTTGAATGGGTTTAATATTGATAAGAACAAAAACTATGTTAATGATTCAATTGTTGAACAGATGAACGCGGATGAACATTCCTGGTTCAATCATTATCATGCTTGTTGTTGAATAAAAATTGAACCCTCGGAGCCCAAACTCAAGTGTTCAACAGAATTTATCACTAATCAACATAAAGTGATTATGTTCAAAGTTCGATTAAGTTGGATTATCGATTGAATAAGGTTAACTCCAAGTTTCCTTTTATTTTCACTTTTTCGAGTAAATGTTTTTCACTCTGATTATTGACCAAACAAGGTTGACTTTTCGATTCGACACAAAATTGCAATTCAATCTCTTTGATGGAAACCCGAATGAGGCCAATCAACAAGAGATGAATCTGGTTAGTGAGCAAGAAAGGTAATCTTGATAATCATGATTGAGATGATAAATGTGATGAGAATGACGTCTCAATATGATCTTCAATTGTATTCTTACCTTAGCATTGATTAATTATGAAAGCGGATTAATTGATGATTGCTATCTTCAGACCAATTAATCTCACCTTAAACCCACTTTCATTGAAGTAAAAAAAGTGAAAAAATAAACAGTTTCCCAAGTATTTCTCGGTTCTAATCACTTGCACTCGTTTAAACTAACAATTTTCAATTTCATTCCAACTGTTTCATTCAAATTGTATCTCGAAAATGATTTATCTGTAAATCTTATTCTCTCATTATTATGCCAATTCAACCATAAGACTTGAAAAGTGAAAGTAAATGTTTATCAAACAAACGGGACAAATCAACTGATCGTCAAAGAAATATCACTTTTTGACTTTTCCTTTTTTCATCAATACTTACCTGTCTTGTCCCATTCAGTGATAAATATCTATCTTGTGTGATTGGTTTTTTTGGAAGAAAAAGTAAAATGTCTTTAATCAAATTTGAATGGCACAAGCAATTTGGGAATTTGATTGAATGCGATTCAAACTAAATTCATAAATATCAACTGTTTCCCTTTTGTTGAATTGGATTATAAGAATTTAAAAGTCAATAGAAATCACAATTTCAATGTTTCTGCAAACTTGCTTTAGATTTGAATTTAAAGCAACGACTGATGATATAAAATGGTACAAAATGCTTACTTGCTTGTTTTGCATTGTTTGGGTTTATATTGTCCAGTCTCGTAATCACATTCAGGTTGATATTCAGAGGTTTCAAATAGAAATCCAGTTTTTACTAAAATCCCTGATCAATGAAGAGACAAATTAGTGTTGAATGAAAAGTCGAAAGCACCAAGTCTCACCTGCTCTGTTTGAACAGAAGCTTTTCCCATTCAAATTGATGGCCTTTTCTCGCTGTTGAATGCACTTTGAAGTGGTTCCATTTTGAACACAAATTAATTCACTTTCATCACAGATTAATCCATTTCTACATCGAGATTCAAACGAATTGCAACTTTCATTTAAACCTTAAATAATACGTAAAAGTTAATTCAAGTTGCAACGTAAATGAAACAAAGCATTTACCTGAAATGTAAACACAGCCAGGACAACATCCACCGATCCAAATGTTGTCCACAATCTCTTGCTGTGGCTCAATGCAAATGTTAATTTTTGGACACTCAATCAGTTCACAGTTAACATTGAAATGATCATTGAAATAGACTGAAGCCGAAGCAAACGAGCAAAATGTCAAAGCAAAATATAAATCAACCAACATCATATTGAAACAAAAATGAGACTAAAAGTGTTTTAATGTGCTCTTATCATTGTTGGTATTTTATTGCAATGCAAACGTCTTTATTACATCAGTAAAGAAAAGCATAAAAATGTTTAGACTCTAGGAATCCATTTTGATTGATGTTGGCCCAAAATGCATTCAAATTGTTCCATGAATTTCCAATTGTTGCAAATTGCAATGAGACAATGAAAGCAAGTCTCAATCTGTTGCCTGAAAATGGAAAAGGAAATATTGAAAGTGAATGAAATAGGAAGAGAACAGATGATTAGGAAGAAGAATAAGAAAATAACTGTAAAAGTGAGTGCGAAAGGGAAAAGATGAGTTTTTTGATTGATCAAAGGTAAGGAATGGTAATGATGATAATGATGAAGATTGGCATGAAAACTTGTAAAACTTGAGTTAATCATGAAAGAAAAGGAGAAAGACTAAAATGGCAAACTGTTGCTTGCCATTTTCTTGCCTTTATCATTTGTCTCTCTTTTCTTTCTTCTTTTCATTTTCTCTCTCTTTTCTCTTCTCTATCATGCTGCGGGAGTATAGATGTTCACTGATTCTGATGAGAACGACTGAAGCGCCCTTCCTGATATAAAAGCTTGTTAGACTATTTATCATGAATATAAAAACATTTCCAATTCATGTTGAATATGTTACTTTTAAAATACATGTTAACCTATCAACAAGAACGATATCATTAAAAGTTTTATTTTTCAACCTTTCCCTTTAATCGACAGTCAATTAGCCAACAATTTGCTTTGCATTTGCAGTAAAAAAAGTTACATTCCAAATTCATATGCATTATCAAGCAAAAAGAGTGAAACTTTTTCAATAAAAAGTCGGAGAAACCGAAAACGCGAGAAAAACATTTCACATTGAAATCTCACAATTGTTTCCATCAATTAGCAAAACAAAAAATTCTTTAACCTTTTCCTCAACTTTATCTGTCCAAGTGAACAGTCGATATCATGATCTCAGATGACAGTTTACTTCACCTTTCAACATGGAGTTATCACCATTCCAATCATCACCATCATCACCATCAATATAACTCAAGCAATAGGATATCATTAATAGTGTTAACCGTGTCCATGGTTTTTCTGCTAATCACAAGTGAATTAAAAGTAGTCTCATCTAATCCAGTTCCCTCGAGCAAGGATGACCTCGATGGGCCCAATGGACAGAATAAACACTCTATTGACAATTTACGCCGTGAATGTTTTCCAGGAAGTGAACTTCGTGATCTCTGTGAAATGTGTGCAAAGGTAACTCGCAATGTAAACACTTTTCCCTGGTGTTGCACCCGACAATTCAATGTAACCCAATGGTGTGAAGAGTATCTTTCATATACAATTGGACCCAACAAGTAGCACACACTTGAGCTTCACTAGAAACAACAAACAATAAACTATTAATAAATTAATTGGTCATCATGAAAAGTCTCATCATGATTCCATCTCATTCCAGTCATCATTTGCTTACACATGCGGGTCCAAGACGCACACACCAACACCCAAGTCCTGATACAAGTTCATCTCAAGATGAACAGACGATTATTTTCTCGTGCCTTTTCAAGTTTCGATTGTCGTTGATTCCTCATTAACTAATTGTATTATTACATTCTCTTCTCTCTGCAGACAATCTACTTAATTTTATCAATTAGTTCAACTTTTATTTTCCAATTTCAAAGATTGTTGATTGATGAAACAGCAAACAGCAAAAAAAGGTTGAAACTGATTTCAAAGATTATCCTGCAGATGAACTGAACTCTTGATAATCTCACGAGATTTATTTCTTATCATTTTAACCCTTTTCTTTATTCATGACATTATTTTGAGAATTTTTATTCTCTTTTCCTCTCTCTCTCATCAATCACTATCAATCTTATTTATTTGTCTAAAAATTTTAATAACGATTATGCTAATAATTGTCAACACAATATCAATGTAAAACAAATGTGTTTTTTTTAAACAAAAAAGCTATTAATATCAACGAACAAAAATCAATTTTATATTTAAACTGATATCACGTATTAAAGTATATAAACAAATTAAATCAAAAGTTTCAATTCATTTGAAATGACGGAATGGCAAAATTGACCAAAACCCGAAAATCGCTTGCAACCCTTTTTATACACTCTTTATCATCTTACGATTTGTAGGTGTGAAACTTTAGATAATATTGACACTTGAATCATGGAATACCTAAATCATGTTCTTGACCTCATTTCAATGATTACATTAGTAATATATTAATATCTCCATCATTCACTTTCCCTTTTAATCTCATTTGTCAACTTTTTCCTTTCTCTTGACTCACATGATGTTATATTTTTGAAACACTTTCGTATTATTAGTATTGCTATTTATTGTTGCGCTTATCGAGTGCATGTCGGCTTGTAGCAACTTCATGTGACTCTAGATTCAGTTGTTTTCTTTTTTTTCAAAAGTTCCAACTTGTTTACTCTTTTCAAGACTCTAGATTAATATCAACCTGAAATAGAAAAAAAAATTCAAGACGAAAGGGCTTATCAACTGTATAACCATGGAATCATGGACACTATCTGTTGGCACCTTTTGATAGGTTGAGATGAGTTGTTTTTCCCCGATTTTCCGCCTTACATTTTTGTTCGCCTTCGGTTTCAGTGAAGTGCAAAAAACCAGAAAAGAAAAGGTGAAACAAAAGATGAAAATAACTCGATGATGAAGAGATTGGTGAAGGTGATAAACACTAAAAAGGGTAAATTAATAAACATCTAGAAATGCTGCCAAAAATAAACTTTCAGCAAACAATTGGGTTTGCCATCATTTAATATTTTTTCCTGTCTTGTTCAACATTTGGTTTTACCGTTTCTTTATTTCTTCGCCTTTTCACTTTTCTCCATTCTTTTCCTTATCTCATGTTCAATCATTCTTTTTTTGACACTTAATCAATCCAATAATCTTTAAGCTAGGATTCAATGTTGAATCTCTTCTCTACCTGTGTAGCCTCACTTCTTCCGGTGAAGTCAATCAGATAAATTGAATATCATGTTAAAGATGAACGACAACAACACGCAAAGTGTATCACAATTGGTATCAAAACTATCGCTCAACTTTGAGTTCCATGACTTTTCTTGGCTAAAAGTTCAACATCAATAGGTCTGGTTAGCAATAAAAATGATAAATGGTAACAGAAAAGGTAGAAACAGATAAACATGATAGACTCAATTCAGATTGTTGATCATTTTTATGGATAACAAAATAGGCGAGACAATCATTAATGAAGAAAAGAAGAATGTAATGAAAGAAGAAGAGAAAAAGGAGTAAGAAAAAGAATTGAATTTCAACTGGTTGATGCATCTTCCTCATGCAAATGTACAGTTTCAAGGAAATGGTCACTTGTGTTTCTTGACTCACTCCACTATTAGCTTAGCTTTTGTTGGCACAATGGCCTTTTCAATATTCAATTTCATTCGGTCTCATGATTGAAAGTGACTTGAAATAACAGGTTATATAACCTTTACTTCCTTGTTCCCAATCACTTCCTCTTTTGCGCTTCCAATCCAAACCGGACTCATTTGAAATCCTTTTGTTTCTTTGGTCAACTTAATACAACATTCCCTCGAGTTCATTATCAAACCATTTCAAGGTTCATGACTTTTGCTTCTTTAACGGGAAGCAACTTGCGCTTTCAGCCACCTTGACCTCAACTCACCGTCTAACGGTGAATCAACTGGCCATCAGTTTTCTTCCTCATCTTCAGGTAATTCAGGAAATCTTGTTCACTTTTTCCAAGAATCAAGACACTTTCATCAAATATTTACTCTGAAAGTGATGAACGGAAAAAATCAATTTCGAACTCAATTTACTCTTTTTTTTGCTGATCTGAACAAATCTATTTTTTTTGGGCAATAAGGTTGTAGGCTGAGCTCGTAATTGAATTATTCTGATCTTGTTAATTAACTCGATTGACAAGTATCAAAGTTGTTCATCAAATTAATTTCTTGTATCAACCAATAAGCTCACCTTAAGGCTGTCTACTTTCAACCTACATTGATCTCAAGTTTAATATGAAGATGGAGAAGAAGATGAAAGGAAAAAATAAAAAGGTCAATCGGTAGTTGGAGAGGTTAAAAGGAGTAGAGATTGAATTTCAACATGATGACGCTCAAGCTTATTGTAATGACGAAAAAAAATGTTGAGGGAAAAATAATGAACAAAACAGATTTCTTCTTCTTTGCTCATATAAATAATAGCAAAAAGAGTTGAAAGCTAGTTTCTAAATTTATGAGAATAAAGATTGAATTATTGAACAAGTTATCAGTTTCAAGAAAAGTTCTTTGCTTGCTATCATTAAATTACAATTGATTGCTGTAATCCGTTCAAGATGATGCGAAATGAGCAACAAAAGTTTCCCCGAATCAAACAATGAATAGTGAATAAAACATCATCATTATTGATACAATATTTTCAAACCTACTCAAAGTTGAAAATTTCATTCAATAAAAGATTAAAACTTTTTCAAGAAATGCCTCAAATGAGTCTATTAGCATTGATAACTGATAGTGTAAGTTTCCAGTTACATCAAAAGAGGGCAACAGTTGAATTGTAAACTTTACGTCGGAGCGTCAAGTCAATATCATGGTGCGGAATAGTGTAAAGTTAATTGCCATGAGTCTTTGCTAATAAACTGAAACTTTTCCTGTAAGTTGAAACCATAGACGAGAAAAAGAAAAGGAATAAAAAATTAAGTTTTTGGATTGAATCATCGAAACATTTCGTCTCTGGAGCTTTTACTCAAGAAAGATTAAACTCATTATTTTTCATAACTCAATCAATTTGCATTGAAGTTTGCTTGTAAAGAAATTCAGCTTTTGAATAAACTCAGAGTAACAGAAATAACTGAATCAATGAGAAAACTCTACTTTTATTTCTTAATGGATAGTGAATTTTAACCTTTACAAACCTTTACAAACAAAATGATTTTCATAATGAAAAAGTCACTGAAAGTTTCCTCAAAGATGAAAATTTTCAGTTTCTCTGTCTTTTCAAGTTATTTCATTGAGAAATGTAAAGCATTTATGCATTTATGACGTGAAAATGTTTCTGTATTGATACAAACTAAACTCTAGATTTTCACCCAAAATTTATTCGATCATTTGTTCTAATCATGAACCATTTTTCCTACTTTCTGGTTCATCTTAAACTTTCTAGGCTTAAAATTAAAAGTTTTATCGATTGAATGTTGCTTCACATTAAGCAAGTAAAATTTCAAGTTTCCCAGTTTCGAGTTGACCATTTGTTACCTCAAATAATGACGGAAGTTAAATTTAACCATATCTTTCCTTGGACAAGATAATCAAAAAATATTGATCTGTTTTTTGTCCTTTCATGTCATAATTATCCTTTGCTATTCTCACACCAATTTGGCTTTTGAATATCGTCGGTAAAACTAATCAATCTTGCTGATTAATGAGAATCTTT